AGAGAGAGAGAGAGAGAGAGAGAGAGAGCGCTAATATCTTTTTCTACTCGAGCGAGGCGCTTGCAAATAGTAACATCATCATTAATGCGAATTCGTTTACAATAAGGATTGTTAATGCGCATAATACACAAGTTACTGATTTTGATTAAACATTATTCATTATCGATATCTGCAATCCGAAATCGAGCACTTAAAGAAACATGCATTCGATCTCCCTGAATCTTTACATTTGATTGAAAATCTATTCAAATTTTCTTTAACATGTAGGAATGAGTTTTTAAAAAGCTGTTTTTTTTCCCTAGAAAACATGTTAAATAATTTAATCCTTTTAAGGGATTATCGTGACAATAAAGAATATATAGTTAAAAGGATTAAATTATTTATTAACACTAAAAATACGTAAACTCCGATTTGCATTTATTGTTCCAGTGTTGCACTAGTTTTCCTAGCTGAAAAACGTTATAAATCAATCGCATTGTGCACAAATGTAATTTTGTTCCGTAAAAGCTGCATTTGCGCATAATTCGATTAATTAATTAATGAATTAAAAACTTGCCTAATTAATTTATGGGAGGATCCCGTTTGCCTACAGTTCTGATTGTACACCACTCATATTAACTGGTGCCTAGTAATTTTTTACTGTTTTGCCAATGAGATTATTTTATTTTTAAATTGGCCAATCAGCGATACATGTGTGCAATCGGAGCCCTTCCTTCGTTCTTTTTATTGGTCAATCGAATGCCAAATGGCTTCAAAGTGTTAATTGGAAGGCGCGTCGTCCTAGCCAATGTAGAGTTTCTCTAGTAAGGCCTGTTCTACAGTACGTCGTGTGTCGCTGTCGGATGTCGGGCGCATACGCATTGCACTGTCTGTCGTTTCTCACTGTTGCGAGTCGGCTGTCGACGTCGGTACAAAAGATGGTCAACTCTCATCTTTTACGACAACGACTCGACTGGATAAACATAACCTTTATTATTTTACGGTATCTTATCATGGAATCATTAACTGCAGATGAAATAATTATTGATATTGTTCGCGAAAGTCATTGCATATATGACAAACGTGATGTGGATTAAGAAAAAGAAAGATGTTGCGAACAATTATTCCAACATTCGACTCAATTGTAGAATGGCTTGTCGTATTCATATCCTACAGACGACAGATGACCAGCGACATCCGACAGCGACACACGACGTATTGTAGAACAGGCCTAAGAGCGGAAAGACGCCATTGCCGGGTGTCGAGTATCGGCCGGAAACAGCACAATTCCACCATGGTTGACAGTTGATAGTGGCACCCAGTTGGACACGGCTCAATTGGACACGAGCCACTCACAGCGCTTGAGACTACAAAGCTCCTAAGCACCTGTCGCTGTGATTGGTGGTGTCGAATCGAGCCGTGATCAACCGGGATCACCCCATTAGAGCACTGTAATATAGGTATTCGTATCCGCCATTTTTAATTCTTTCCCCACTCTTTGTTCTCTCTTCAATCTTTTTAGTTTAGCGGCGGAATGGAGAGAGAGCAAGGGATTGAGGAAAGGAGCAAGAGAATGAGAAAAGGACTAAAAATGGCGGATATTCAAATTATAGTGCTTTACTTTGATTGGACGCGGGCATCAAAGCTCCATAGGCATGGGAGAGATTGGAGAAGACTGGGCTACGTTCAACAGAAAAAGTAGCTTTGCAACTGTTGTAAAATTCTTGAATATTATTAGTTTATACATTTAGATCCAGTGAGGAACTAAGGGCAAGACCAATCATATTAAAGAATTTTAAGCCAGCGGCATACGATGCTTGTTTTTCTGCTGGATTGCTAACTGGATTTTAATCTTGCTACCGTATTGGCCGCGATGTTTTCAATGTCAATATCGCAGCC